TACTAACCCCATTAAAAAGATAAAAAGACACAAGTAAAATTAATTGTAATATGTTATTTAATACAAATATCTATATTCTTTCCCACATGCAATCAATATAAAATTATTGAGATATTTACACTCTGTTTTCCACACTGTTTCCAATCTCTGGTGTGTGTTTTACACTTATAGGACATTGCAATTCAATTAGCCACATTTTACTTGCCCGAAAACCACATGTGACTGCAAGACTGCACAGTGCAGAATACTTCTGCTTTGCCCTATTCCCTCTCTCCTAAATTACAGAATCCTACTTAATTACATTGATTCTCTTCCTGTTTAACATTATGCGCTTAAATATACTTACATTTCTATTACTGGAATAATCCATTTAAAATAATTTTTTTGATGAGAGAATGTGTACACCTGTACCACTTCCTATTCTCTCTGCCCCCCTCACTTTTGGTTAACCATACCCTTTCTAGTTTAAAGATTTATAACATCTACATTTGTAGCCATTCTTCTTAGATTTGATTTAACGCCAATCCTCAAGCCAGATGGACTCAGTGCTCAGCATCAGTTCTCTTGCTGTGGCTTCTCCATTTTCTCTCAGTTGGCTGAAAGTCGTTCTTAAATAGTTTCTTCAGGAAGTTCCTTCAATTCTTGCATGCTCTAAGACATTGGTCTGATGTTTTTATTTTATTTATTTATTTATTTTGAGACGGAGTCTCACTCTGTCACCCAGGCTGGAGTGCAGTGGCGCGATCTCGGCTCACTGCAACTTCAGCTCACTGCAACCTCTTCCTTCTGGGTTCAAGCAATTCTCCTGCCTCAGTCTCCCGAGTAGCTGGGATTACAGGCGCCCGCCACCACACCTGGCTAATTTTTGTATTTTTAGTAGAGATGGGGTTTCACCATGTTGGCCAGGCTGGTCTCAAACTCCTGACCTCAGGTAATCCGCCCACCTCGGCTTCCCAAAGTGCTGGGATTACAGGCGTGAGCCACCATGCTTGGCTGATGTCTTTATTTTTTTAATGACAGTTTGGCTGGGTATAAAATTATTTCTCCAGATCATCTTACTTCAAAATTAAGTCCTCCGGAACTTTGTAGACATTTTTCTATTGACTTCTAGCAATGAATGTTGCTGAAATAAAGTCTGGGCTTTTCCCTTTTAAGTGACTTGGTCTTAGTATCTTGATGCGCTCAGGTGTAAGCCATTTAGTGTCATTTTTCTTGGGACATGGTGAGTTATTCCAACCTACAGATGAAAATCTTCTTGTATTTCTGGGAAGTTTTCTTAAATTATAAATTTAGATATTTGCTGTATTCCATTATTTTCTATCTCTTCTTTGAGAATATCATTTTTGTATATGTAGCATGGCCTTTTTCTAGTTTCCAAATCTTCTCTCTGACCCTTTATGATGATCTGTTGTTTTCATGTATTGTGTTAGCTTTTGTCAATCCTGTCTTCCATGTCCTTTTACTATTATGTCTTCTGCAATGTCTGTTCTCCTTAAGGCAATTTAGACTTCATTGTAACTAATTTAGACTTTCATTTTTTTTCCCTAAATTCTGCAACCTCATGTTAATCTCCTTCTGTTTCCTTTCCGTATCTTCTATGAACTCCTGTATTCCTGCTTTATGATAATTTATTTAAATATTTGGTGATTTTTTTTTTTTTTGAGACAGAGTCTCACTCTGTCACCCAGGCTGGAGTGCAATGGTGCGATCTTGGCTCACTGCAACCTCCACCTCTTGGGTTCAAGTGATTCTCCTGCCTCAGCCTCCCAAGTAGCTGGGATTACAGGCGCCCGCCAACTCGCCCAGCTAACTTCTGTATTTTTAGTAGAGAAATTTTCACCATGTTGACCAGGCTGGTCTTGAATTCCTAACCTCAACAAGTGATCTGCCCACTTTGGCCTCCCAAAGTGCTGGGATTACAGGCATGAGCCACTGCACCTGGCCTGTATTTGGTGATTTTTAAACAATACTTATTTTCTCTGTGACATCTCTATTTCAATCCTTTTTTTTTTTTTTTTTTTTTTTGAGAGATGGAGTTTCACTCTTGTTGCCCAGGTTGGAGTGCAATGGCTCAATCTCGGCTCACTGCAACCTCTGCCTCCCAAGTTCAAGTGATTCTCCTGCCTCAGCCTCCCAAGTAGCTGGCATCACAGGCATGCACCACCACGTCTGGCTAGTTTTTTACTTTTGTAGAGATGGGGTTTCTCCATGTTGGTCAGGCTGATCTTGAACTCCTGACCTCAGGTGATCTGCTCACCTCAGCCTCCCAAAGTGTGGGGATTACAAGCGTGAGCCACCGCACCCAGCCTCAATCCCATCCTTTATTTTCTCATCTATGAATAAGGGTCATCTCCTTAAACCAGCCTTTATTTTATTATTTATTTATTTATTTATTTAGAGACAGAGTCTCGCTCTGTCGCCCAGGCTGGAGTGCAGTGGCATGATCTCGGCTCGCTGCAAGCTCCGCCTCCTGGGCTCATGCCATTCTCCTGCCTCAGCCTCCCAAGTAGCTGGGATTACAGGCACCTGCCACCACACCTGGCTAATTTTTGTGTTTTTAGTAGAGACGGGGTTTCACCATGTTGCCCAGACTGGTGTTGAACTCCTGATCTCAGGTGATCCACTCACCCCAGCCTCCCAAAGAGATGGGATTACACGCATGAGCCACTGCGCCCAGCTCTTTAATTTACTTTTACTTTTTATTTTTATTTATTTTTGAGACAGAATCTCACTCTATCACCCAGGTTGGAGTGCAGTCTTGGTGCCATCTTGGCTCAGTGCAACCTCTGCCTCCTAGGCTCAAGCGATTCTCATGCCTCAGCCTCCAAAGTAGTTGGGATTATAGGTGCCCGCCACCACACCCAGCTAATTTGTTTTGTATCTTTAGTAGAGACAGAGTTTCACCATGTTGCCCAGGCTGTTCTCGAACTCCTAACCTCAAGTAATCTGTCCACCTCCGCCTCCCAGAGTGCTAGGATTACAGGCCACCACTCCTGGCCTGGCAATGATGAGTTTTAAAGAATATGCAGGTTATTTTGTTATTTTCTTTGAGACGGAGTCTCACTCTGTCACCAGGCTGGAGTGCAGTGGCGCAATCTCCGCTCACCGCAAGCTCCGCCTCCCGGGTTCAAGTGATTCTCTTGCTTAGCCTCCTGAGTAGCTGGGGCTGCAGGCATCTGCCACCACACCTAGCGAATTTTCTGTATTTTTAGCAGAGATGGGGTTTTACCATGTTGGCCAGACTGGTCTGGAACTCCTGACCTCGTGATCCACCCACCTCGACCTCCCAAAGTGCTGGGATTACAGGCGTGGACCACTGTACCCTGTTGGTTCTGGTGGGCATCACCTATCCTGGGCTCTAATGGAGAGAATGTTGTAGAAATCGTGTAGGTGCAGGCACAGGTGTAGTTGCAGGCACAGATGTAGGTGTAGATGTAGGTGTATATTTTCTCTTGGAAATAGCAAATCACCAGCCAGGCATGGTGGCTCACGCCTGTAATCCCAGTACTTTGGGAGGCCGAGGCGGGTGGATCACGAGGTCAGGAGATAGAGACCAGCCTGGCCAACACAGTGAAACCCCACCTCTACTAAAAATATAAAAAATTAGCCGGGTGTGGTGGCGGGCGCCTGTAGTCCCAGCTACTCGGGAGGCTGAAGCAGGAGAATGGCGTGGACCCGGGAGGCGGAGCTTGTAGTGAGCCGAGATCGCGCCACTGCACTCCAGCCTGGGCGACAGAGCCAGACTCCGTCTCAACAACAACAAAAAATCGAAGCACCTTGAAACTCTACAGTTTCAAACCCAGAATTCATTACTCACTCCCATATTTTAAAAAAGCTCCTCTCCCAGTGTTCCCTATCTTGGTAAATGGTGATACCACCCCATGAGAAACAGGGTACTCTCTCCTCTTTTCACAAATGCCACAGTCTGATTATTTATTTATTTATTTATTTATTTTGAAGCAGAGTCTCGCTCTGTCGCCCAGGCTGGAGTACAGTGGTGCGATCTTGGCTCACTGCAACCTCCGCCTCCTGGGTTCAAGTGATTCTCCTGCCTCAGCCTCCCAAGTAGCTGGGATTACAGGTGCCCACCACCACGCCTGGCTAATTGTTGTACTTTCAGTAGAGACAGGGTTTCGCCACGTTGGCCAGGCTGGTCTGGGACTCCTGACCTCTGGTGATCCACCCACCTCAGCCTGCCAAAATGCCGAGATTACAGGCGTGAGCCACCACAGCCGGCCCTGATCATTTATTTCACCCAGTTCTGACACTGTACTTCCTGAAGATCTCTCCCATCCAGCCATGTCACCCACCTCCAGGCTACAGAGAAACTGAGAGTGCCAAGGAAGTCGCCAGACTGCCTGTGGTTGGCAGAATAGCACCCCAAGGACATCCCCAGCCTAGTCCCCAGGCCTCTGAAGAGGTCACCTTAAATGACAAGAGTGTTGCGGATGGGATTAAGGATGCTGAGATGAGAGATTATCCTGATGACCCAGTTGGCCGAAGGTCAGTACGGTGTTCTCAAGAGAGGCGGCAGGAGGGTGAGAGTCAGAGAGAAGAGGCTGTGCTGCTGGATTTGAAGATGAAAGACCGGACGCCGCCACCCCACACCAGGGATGCAAGTGCTTCCAAATGCCAGAAAAGGCGGGAAATGGACTCTTCCCTGGGGTCTCTGGAAGCAGCAGCCCTGCTGGTACTTGGACTTCAGCCCAAGTGAGACTGACTTTGGACTCCAATCTCCAGGAGGAGAAGAGAATAAATGCACATTTTGTTGTTGTTGTTGTTGTTGTTTTTGAGACAGAGTCTCATAGTCTCTCTATCGCCCAGGCTAGAGTGTAGTGGTGCGACCTCAGCTCACCGCAGCCTCAACCTTCCAGGTTCAAGAGACTCTCCTGTCTCGGCCTCCTGAGTAACTGGGATTACATGCGTGTGTCACCATACCCAGTAAATTTCTGCATTTTTAGTAGAGGTGCGGTTTTGCCATGTTGGCCAGGTCTCGAACTCCTGACCTCAAGTGATCCGTCTGCCTCGGCCTCCCAAAGTGCTGGGATTACAGACGTGAGCCACTGCACCCAGCCCAAATGTGTAGTGTTTTAAGTCACCCCATTCGTGGGCGTTTGTTACAGCAGCAACCCGATGGTAATAATGGCAACTGTCTTGGTCCATCTGCCCTGCTGTAAGAAAGTACCATAGAGTGGTGGGTTAGAAGCAATAGTAGTTTATTTCCCACAGTCCTGGAGGGTGCAGGTCTGAGATCAGGGTGCCAGCATGGTCAGGTGCTGGTAGTGGGGGTCCTCCTGGTTGCACACTACCTGCTTCTCAGCATCTTCACATGGCAGACAGGGGCCACGGGTATCTCTCGGTCCTCTTTGATAAGGACACCAATCCCATGCGTGACAGCTCTGCTCCATGACCTCATTGCCTCCCCGAGGCCTCACCTCCTAATACCATCACCTCGAGGATGGGAATTTCAACATATGAATTAGGGGGAGACACAGGCATTCAGGCCATAGCAGGGACTGTGGGTCTTTTCCTAACCTATTTGAGCCTCAGTCTCCACATCTGAGGAATGGGGACAATGATAATCCCTCCATCATTAGATCACTGTAAAGATCCATAAGTTGTGCAACAGATGTCAGCTGGTGTGACAGGGGCTGTCATTCCGACTCTGACGGTCCTGTGGGCCCTCAGGAGGAGTGGACGAGCAAGTCTGGATTGAAGAGATTCAGAGGGCGCTCGAGATGGTCAATGAAAGTGACTCGGAAAATAAACAGCTAGACAAATCGCAGGTTGGATGAAAAAATAAATATTATTGTCCTCCTCATCCTTCTTTTGGCCTTCTGGCCCGCCCTCCCTTCTCCAGGCCAAAACGCTCGGAATAATCACATACACAGGTGTAGGGTGCCTGAGGGTGTTTACTGGGAGCGGAGGTCTTAGAGGCCAGGCCTGGGCTGATCACACTTTTCTGGTGATGCTTTTGGGGGTGGCAAGCTCATAGAGGCGAGGGGACGCCTGGGCCACCAGGGAGGCCGGGGAGATGGAATAGGGGTTGTGGCCCTCGTTGAGGCACTTGCGCACTTTGGGCTGGGCCAGGGAGATGATCCGGGGGCTGGCCACCACCTTCTTGGTGACATCCAGCACCGCCCAGCGAGGATCTCGGTCAGGAACACACTTGTCCGACTGAGCTTTGGGCCCTGGAGGGAGCACAAGAGAAGGACAGCACTGAAGCTCAAACCTCAAAGTTCCACATTCAGGCTGGGCATGGGGGCTCACGCCTGGAATCCCAGCACTGTGGAAGGCTGAGGCAGGCGGATCACCTGAGGTCAGAAGTTCGAGACCAGCCTGGTCAACATGATGAAACCTCACCTCTACTAAAAATACAAAAATTAGCCGAGTGTGGTGGTGCGTCTCTGTAGTCCCAGCTACTCGGGAGGTTGAGGCATGAGGATGGCTTGAATTCAGGAGGCAGAGGTTGCAGTGAGCCCAGATCGTGCCACTGCACTTCAGCCTGGGCAACAGAGCAACATGTCATCTCAAAAAAAAAAAAAAAAAGAAACAAAGAAAAGAAAAAAAGCTGCCATGTTTAGATGGCCTACTCATCAGCACGGGAATGGAGGATGAAAATGTAGTCCACTCAGAGAGTGGAATATGACTCAGCCAAGAAAAGGAGCGAGGCTCTAGCACCAGCTACAGCATGGCTGAGCCTTGAGGACATCACGTCCCGCGAGAGGCAAGAGACACGAAAGGACACACAGTGTGTGATTCCATTTGTACGAACATCCGGGACAGGCCAATCCAGAGTCTGCAAGTGAACTGTGGATGCCAGGGGCTGGGGGATGGGAACGGGGAGTGACAGCTGATAGGGACGGGGCTGCCCTCTGAAGGCATACAAAAGTTCTAAAATTGACTGTGGTGGTGGTTGCATAACCTTGTGACTGTACTAAAAGCCACTGAAACACATTTTTTATTTTTATTTATTTATTTATTTATTTTGAGACAGAGTCTTGCTGTGTTGCCCAGCCTGCAGTGCAGTGTTGTGATCTCGGCTCACTGCAACCTCTGCCTCCTGGGGTCAAGCAACTCTCCTGCCTCAGCCTCCTGAGTAGCTGGGACTACAGATGTGCACCACCACACCCAGCTAATCTTTCTATTTTTAGTAGAGACGGGGTTTCACCATACTGGCCAGGCTGGTCTTGAACTCCTGACCTCAGGCGATCCGCCCACCTCAGCCTCCCAAAGGGCTAGGATTACAGGCGTGAGCCACTGCGCCTGGCCTTTTTTTTTAATTTTGTTTCATCATTTTATTTTACTTTATTACTTTATTTTATTTTGAGACACAGTCTTGCTCTGTCGCCCAGGCTGGAGTACAGTGGTGGGATCTCCACTCACTGCAACCTCCGCTCCCCGGGTTCAAACGATTCTCCTGCCTCAGCTTCCCGAGTAGCTGGGATCACAGGCACAGGACACCATGCCCAGCTAATTTTTTGTATTTTTAGTAGAGACAGGGTTTCACCATATTGGCCAGGCTGGTCTTGAACTTCTGACCTCAGGCGATCCGCCCACCTCACCCTCCCAAAGTGCTGGGATTACAGGCATGAGCCACCACGCCTGGCCCCATTTTATTTTATTTTGAGGCAGGGTCTTGCTGTGTCTCCCAGGCTGGAGCAGGATCACAGCTCACTACAGCCTCCACCCGACTTGAAACTTCTGGGTTCCAGCGATCCTCCCGCCTCAGCCTCCCAAGTAGCTGGGGCTACAGTCATGCACTGCCACACCCAGCTATGAAATCTACACTTAAAAACAGGGTGAATTGTAAAGAAAAAAATATTTCAAATGGCCACAGGCAGCCAGGCTCAATGGCACATGCCTGTCATTCCAGCACTTTTGGAGGCAGAGGCAGGAGAATCACTTGAGCCCTAGAGTTTGAGGCCAGACTGAGCAACACAGCAAGACCCCATCTCTAAAAAAACAAAAAAAAATGGCCACAGGTACCTGAAAGGGGGACTCAGGGGGCCACAGCCAAGAGAGCTCAAGTCTCCTCAGTCTGCTGCCAACCCAGGTGAACCTGGTTCCCCCTCCTCTCCACCTGCTCATGTCATGGCGGCAGGTGGGTCGGGGCAGGAGGCGTCTCCTCTCCCTGGCTGGTGTCATGTCTTTCCCCCTGGTGGCTGCTCCTCAGGCACTCATGGCCCCCTCCTCCAGGTACCCCCTCCTCACCATCTCTCCCCCACCCCTTCCTTAACAGCAGGGAGCTGCAGCAGACTGCTTGGAGACCAGGAAGGGATGTGGCCACCAAGTCTGCCACAGCAGCCGGAGCTGTCCTCCACCTTGTCTCTTGGGGCTTCGGGGCCTTGATTTCCGGGGAAGCTCCCACCTTCTTTCCAGATCCCTCTTTGCGTGGAACCTCTGTGCAAATGGATAAGGGCTACCCACTTCTTGGCAGACCAGCCCTGGCTCTGTGAAGAGGCCCCTGAGGAAAAGAGCGTAGAGTCTCTTCCACTAGGCAGGCAGAACTCCACGTGGCACACGGCTGGGCAAGGCCGCCTGAGTGGAAACTGCAGATGCAGCACTGCCTTAGACTGTCCTGCACACACCCGCGCTCACCACACACACACGTGGTGAATATAAACAACTGTACGCTAGTGCAGGTATCAGTGTTTCTCTGGCTCTTGCTTCTGCACCTTCTGGGTGGATGCTGGCTCTGCCTGGCAGATGCCCTTGGGCAGGGTAAGGGGGCCAAGCAGTGGGGCCTTGGTGGCCCTAAAGGGGCTGGGAGAACCATGCCCAGAACCTAGCCTTCTTGGAACTCCTTTGTGAGAATTTCGTAGGCATCTGGGCTTTGAAACTCTGTTGAGTTTCCAGCACTCTAGCAGCAGCGACTAAGCCCACATAGCAGGTGTGAGCACACACAGACAAACAGCACAGCCACACATGAAACTGCCACACCCGTCACCTACATAGCAGGTGACACACACAGAGAAACAGCTGTACAGCTCTTGCACACACATGGCGGGGTGTGACACACACAGAGAAACAGCACAGCCACACACCATCTTACCCCCACCACATAGCAAGTGAGCACACCTGCAAGCAACACAGCCACACACACCACTCTTACCCCACCACCCAGCAAGTGTGAGCCACACACCCGCTCTTACCCCCACCACATAGCAGGTGTGAGCACAGACAAACAGCACAGCCACACACCCGCTCTTATCCCCACCACATAGCAGGTGTGAGCACAAACAGCACAGCCACACACCCGCTCTTACCCCCACCACAGCAAGTGTGAGCACACACAAAGAAATAGCACAGCCACACACCCGCTCTTATCCCCACCACACAGCAAGTGTGAGCACACACAGAGAAACAGCACAGCCACACACCCACTCTTATCCCCATCACATAGCAAGTGTGAGCACACACAGAGAAACTGCCACACACTCTTACCCCATATAGTTCAGTGCACTTGATTTGCTCGTCTGCTTCACGTTTTAAAAATGCTGGTTCCTGGCCAGGCGTGGTGGCTCACGCCTGTAATCCCAGCACCTTGGAAGGCCAAGGCGGGCAGATCACGAGGTCAGATCGAGACCATCCTGGCCAAGAAGGTGAAACCCCATCTCTACTGAAAATACAAAAATTAGCCGGATGTGGTGTCCTACACCTGTAGTCCCAGCTACTCGGGAGGCTGAGACAGGAGAATCACTTGAACCTGGGAGGCAGAGGTTGCACCACATAGCAAGTGTGAGCACACACACAGAGAAACAGCACAGCCACACACACCGGCTCTTACCCCCACCACACAGCAGAAGTGGCAGGCACACACACAGAGAGAAACAGCACAGCCACACACACCCGCTCTTACCCCCACCACACTAGCAAGTGTGTGAGCACACACAGAAGAAAGCTAGCACACACACCCGCTCTTACCCCACCACACATGCGATTGTGAGCACACACAGAGAGAGAAACAGCACAGCCACACACACCCGCTCTTGCCCCACACAGCAGGTGTGAGCACACACTGAAGAAACAGCACAGCCACACACCGCTCTTACCCCACCCACAACGGGTGTGAGCACACACAGAAGAGAAACAGCATGACCACACACACCCAAGCTCTTACCCCACCACACAGCAAGGTGTGAGCACACCTGAAGAAACAGCACAGCCACACACCGCTCTTGCCCCACCACGCCTTGAAGTGTGAGCACAAAAGAAACAGCACAGCCACACACCCGCTCTTATCCCCACCACATAGCAAGTGTGAGCACACACAGAGAAACAGCACAGCCACACACCTGCTTATCCCCACTACCACAGCAGGTGTGAGCACTACAAGAGAAACAGCACAGCCACACACCCCCTCTTCCCATCCCCATCACATAGCAAGTGTGAGCACAGAGAAACTGCCACACACTCTTGCATAGTTCAATTGCACTTCATTTGCTCGTCTGCTTCGTTTAAAATGCTGGTTCTTGGCTGGTCAGCTCACGCCTTTAATCCCAGCCTTGCCCAGCACTTTGGAGGCCGGCGGGCAGATTACGAGGTCAGATCGAGACCATCCTGGCCATCAATTGAAAACATCTATACTGAAAATACAAAAATTAGCCGGATGTGTGGTGTCCTGCCTGTAGTCCCAGCTACTCAGGAGGAAACGGAAAAGGAGAATCCACTTGTGAGGCCTGGGAGGCGGAGAGGAGGTTGCAGTGAGCAAGATTGTGCCACTGCACTCCAGCCTGGGCAAGACGAGATTCTATCTCAAAAAAAAAAAAGGTAGTCCACCTTGGCCAGCTGGCAGGTGGCTCACGCTTGTATCCCAGCTTTGCTTGGGAGGCCAAGGCGGGTGGATCATGAGGTCAGGAATTCAGAGACCCCTAGCCTAGCCAACGTGGTGAAACCCCATCTCTCCACTAAAAATACAAAGGTAGCCAGGGTGATGGCGGGCGACGTAGTCCCAGCCTACTTGGGAGGCTGAGACAGGAGAATTGCTTGAACCCGAGGGAGGCAGAGGTTGCAGTGAGCCAAAGCTCACCACTGCACTCCAGCCTGGGTGACAGGCAAGACTCCATCTCAAAAAAAAACAAAACAAAGGGTGGTCCCAACTATGGTGGGTAGGAGGCCTCAACCCGCCGTCAGCGCGGTGGCTCACGCTTGTAATCCCAGCACTTTGGGAGGCCAAGGCAGGTGGATCATGAGGTCAGGAGTTCAAGACTAGCCTAGCCAACATGGTGAAACCCCATCTCTACTAAAAATACAAAAATTAGCCAGGAGTGATGGCAGGCGCTTGTAGTCCCAGCTACTTGGGAGGCTGAGGCAGGAGAATGGCTTGAACCCGAGAGGCAGAGGTTGCAGTGAGCCAAGATCTCACCACTGCACTCCAGCATGGGTGACAGAGCAAGACTCCATCTCAAAAAAACAAAAAAAAAAGGTGGTCCCAACTATAAGTGGGTAGAAGCCTCAACCCGCCGTCATTCTCTCACACATGCACACACACGCACACGCACATACACACACGCACACATGGATATTTATATACACATTTGAAACATGGATGGATGTATATATGCATATGTGTACCAGTGTATCGATGTCTATATTCACCGTGTATGTTTGTGGTGAGTGTGCGTGCGTGCACGTACCAATGTATTGATGTTTATACTCACTGTGTGTGTGGTGAGCGCAAGTGTGTGCAGGATGGCGTAAGGCAGTGCTGCATCAACACTCACCTGTTTCCATTCATTTCACTCATCATTTCACAAATAGCAAGGGGAAGGATGAAAATTCTTTCATGAATGAACAAACAAAGAAAAGGTCACATAGGCGAAGTTAAAACACAAGACACGGACTGGGGAGAAGTTATCGTGCAATGTGTTCAATAAAGGATTAGTAACCATCTTATATAAAGAGCTGCTCCCAATCTACAACCCCAAAACACCAGGCAACAGGAACCTGGGAAAACAATATAGAAGAGTAAACATAAATGGCCAAGCAACTTCCCTGGCAATTCACATACATTACCCTTGTCCTTGAGGAAAATGGTTATTCAATTTGTTTTAAAGGACAGGAAGGGAGTCAGGCCAACACCCATTTTAAAGTTGCCTTTGTTCCTTAGCGTGGCTCTCTGGCCCCTGCTCTGCACCCTGATTTTCTCTTCTTCACCTTCTTTTCCTGCTAGAAAACCCTCTCAGACAACACCCTCTGCTTCCAGACCACACGTCCCTGTGATTTCTGCTTCTCTTTCCTGGGGGAGAGCTTCCCTCTGCCCACTCTAGGGAGAGGTATAAGATGTCCCCTGGGATTTGGACAGGACATGAGGAGGCACCTAGCCTGAGGCACCTACTTACTGGCCAAGTGAAGGAGGCGGTTATAGTCTGACGCATGTGGCTTGGGTTTCGGCATGGGGTCCCACTCTTCCAACAAGGTGGCTGAGGCCTTTGGCTTTGACAACTGGAGGATCCGTGAGCTGGGGACTGCCATTTGGGCTGCCCTGGATACCTGGGACACCTGGAAAGAGAAATAGAAGGATTACATGAAACAGTCATGATTCCTCCTGGGCTCTGGAGCAAAAGGACCCCAGGAGCAACACTAAAAGACACAAGACAGCCTGGGAAGAAGTTGGTTTTTAATGTACTCATCAAAGGATTAGTAACTATCATGTATAAAGAGCTCCTTCAAATCAATAACCAAAAAAACCCCAAAAGGGCAGACAGAGCAAATGATACAGGAGATGAACCCTAAATGGTCAATAATCCTGTCTTTTGATCAACGTAATGTCAACAATTGTTGACAAATGTAAATTAAAACAACAAAATATCACTCCATGCTCTCAAATTTGGCAACAATGAAAAAGTCTGACATTATCAAGCCCTGGTGAAAAACTCTCATGCATTGCTGGAGGGAGAGTAAATTAGTACAGGCAGCTCAGGAAGCAATTCTCTACTAGGTCCAGCCGAACATGCGCAGGCTTGGTGACTGCCACATACAGGGACTCCTGCACCTGACCCGAAGAAGTGGGTGCAGGGATGTTCCCTGCAGCTTAGTTACCACGCACACACCCCAGAAAGAGCCGGGCGCCCGGCCGCTGGGGGCTGCACAAGCTGACTGCAGCATGTTCTCAAGAGAAGGCAACCCAGCAGTTAGACCATTTTTTCTCCATAAATCGGCACGAATTGCTCTAGAAAACAGTAATGAGAGAAGGCAAGACAGAAGTCATTTATGTTCACGAAACCACGAAACATGACCTAGGGGATAGGGTGAGCAGTGGGGCAGCGCTGGCCGAGGTGGGCCGAGGTGGGGCAGTGCAGGTCGAGGTGGGAGACCTTGCAGATGTTTCACCCAGAAACCTGGCACACTCGCTCCACAGATCAATTCTCAACAGTGGCCGGCGCAGTGGCAGCACTTTGGGAGGTGGAGGTGGGAGGATCACGTAAGTTCAAGACCAGCCTGGGCAACATCGCAAGACTCCATCTCCACACACACTTCTTGGCATTTTCCAGAAAACCCACAGTTCACTGACAGTGTGTTCTTTGATAATTTGCACCAGCCTAGGCAGAGACTGAGTACTGGGCAGCGCTTGGAGACCCTTAAACTGGAGCCGGTTTCCCTCCCCTCTCCTCATAGGCATTCTGTTCCCCTTCACCAGCTGGCTCCCGTACACGTGTGTAGGAGTCCGCCTGCAAAATAACTAAGGAGTAGGCAAAGGACCACTTCACACGTCTCCCACTTATGCTTGGCTGGAAGAGGAACTGGCCATTCCTGATGCCTCTGGGGAGGGAGGTAAGGAAGAGGGGCAGCTGCTGAAATGTTTTCTTCCTTAAAAGGAAAGAGGAGGCGTCCGACCCACGCCTGCCTAGATGCTCCTGTCTGTCCGTTCTTGAAGCGCTACCTGAGAGTCTGATTGTTGACTCGTCCTAACTCTGGGGCCTGCGTAGAGGCAGAGGATGAAATGAAACCACCCCCAAAGGTCACTGTGAAATTTCAGTCCCTTTCTTCTTGAAATTGCTCCCCCATAAAAACCACAGACACATCTATCAGCAAAGATATCATGGTGTTTACAATTTAAGCTCCCACGCAATGATCCGTCTCCCTGCTCCCTCCCTCCTCTCTTCCCACCAGCCCGAGGCCGCCGTGCACACAGCTCTGGACCGGCTGCTGAGGTGGAGACTCCGTCCTGCCTTCAAGGAGCTCCACAGATGGAGGCGCAGCCCCCGATCCATCCAAACCCACCGCAGAAAGCCGTCCTTGAGATCAGCGGGAAAGGGAACATGAACCGCGCCATGTTGGTATCAAGGAATCACTGTTCCCTTGTTAGTGTGACCAGTGTTACCAGGATCACGTTTTAAAATGTCCTTGTCTGTTAGAAATCCCTACTGAGGGTTCATGGGGGAGATGGTGTGACTTTCAACATTTCCCAAGTGGGGTGTGACAAACCACAGAGCAGAAGACACGACCACACACAGTGAGGGAAATGGAAGTTAATGCCACGCGAGAAACGGACAAAATGTTTAGGAATAGTCAGATGAACCAACCAACAAGCAAGCCGGCAACACAGGGTGCTGGCCAGTCGTCTGAGCTCACTCCCGCCGGGAGAACGCAAGACGGCGACCAGGACGGGGAGCGCCTGACCTGAGCTCACTCACCGCGGAACGCAAGATGGCGGCGCGAATGGGGAGCGCCTGAGCTCCCACTCCCCGTCCAGAGAACGCAAGACAGCGGCCAGGATGGAGCGCGCCTCAGCTCACTCCCCGCCTGGAGAACGCAAGATGGCGGCAACACGGAGGGCGCCTGAGATCATTCCCTGCCTGAAGAAGACAAGATGGCGGCCAGCACGGGGCGCGCCTGAGCTCTCTCACCGCCGGGAGAACGCAAGACGGCGACCATGATAGGGAGCGCCTGAGCTCCCACTCCCCGCCCACAGAATGCAAGACAGCGGCCAGGATGGAGAGCGCCTGAGCTCATTCCCCGCCCACAGAATGCAAGACAGCGGCCAGGATGGGGAGCGCCTGAGCTCATTCCCCGCCTGGAGAATACAAGATGGTGGCCAGAATGGGGAGTGCCTGAGGTCACTCACCGCCGGGAGAAAGCAAGATGGCGGCCAGGACGGGGAGTGCCTGAGCTCAATCCTCGCCCAGAGAATGCAAGATGGCGGCCAGGATGGGGAGCACTTGGGTTCAATCCTCGCCGGAATAATGCAAGATGGTCACCAGGATGGGGTGCACCTGAGCTCCCACTCCCCACCAGAAAAGGCAAGATGGCGACCAAGATGGTGAGCGCCTGAGCTCAATCCCTGTCTGGAAAATGCAAGATGGCGGCCAGGTTGAGACACAGATGGGCTCAATCTTTGCCTGAAGAATGCAAGATGGCGGCCAGGATGGGGCGCGCCTGGGCTCCCACTTCCCGCCCAGAGAAGGCAGGATGGCGGCCAGAATGGGGCGCGCCTGGGCTCACTCCCAGCCCGGAGAAGGCAAGATGGCGGCCAGGATGGGGCGCGCCTGGGCTCACTCCCAGCCCGGAGAAGGCGGGATGGCGCCGCCACTTTGGACAACCCTTGGTCAGGTTTTTAAAAGTTAGATGTGCCCAGTAACTGAGAAATCCCGATTCTTACAGCTCCACAAAAAGCCGCATACAGGTGTTCGTGGCAGCTTTATGGTAACAGCCGCGAACTGGACGCCACCCAAATTCCCTTCAGTGGGCGCCTGGATGGGCACATTGATGACAAGCAATAAACTACCGACCCACGCAATTGTCACATGCACGGCGGGGGCGGCGGAAGCCGGGTCAAGTCCGCGGGGTTCCTTTTCTGCGACTTTTGGGAAAAGCAAAAGGTGCAGGGGGAGAGCAGGTCAGCGGCTGCCAGCGGCCGGGTGTCCGGCCTGAGCTGGGGAAGAGGTGAGAGTCTCCATGCGAAGTGGACTGAGCACTTTCTGAACACCTGAGATAAGATGGTTCTAATTCCCCAGTGTGAGCTGGAAGCTCTGGGATCCAGCCCGGGCTGAAACGCAGGGAAGGACGACCCCGGGCAAATCCGAAGACAGGGAGCGATCAACACAAAGCTGCTCCCAAACCAAGGCCGCCGCCTGTGCCGCTTCCCTCCTCCCCCCGACTCCCAGAGGCAAAGCCTCTTTCCTCTGCCGGGTCCCTCCCGCCCGGCGTGGGTGAGTCGCGGGGTCACGGGGCACCCACCTCAGACATGGGCACGCTCCAGATGTTGTTACGAATCTTTGGGGCGGCCAGTTCCTTCAGGCGACTCGTCGCTCGGTATTCCAGGCAGGACCGAGGAATGGGCCAGACAGGAGTCGTCCTGGGGGAGGTCCCCATTTTAGACCAGCAGCTCGGCCCAGGGAGGGGTGTGTGTGTGTGTCTGTCTTTCCCAGGTGTGTCTGTCTGTCTGTCTGTCTGTCTGTCTGTCTTTCCTAGCTCCTCTGTTTCTGGGGAAGTGGTGGGTTTTGAAAGCATCTCCAAGCAGGGATTCATAGAGTTCTCAAGCACAGAGCTACCGTCTCCCAGGACTGTCTCTGCTCAGTGTGCAACGTCCACCCTCAGGCCCAGGCCTTCCCCCATTCCCTTCTGGGATGGCAGCTCCTCCCAGGCCTTCTCCACACACCCCCATCATCAAGAGCCTGGGGTGAGGACTTGGACCCAAGGGAAGAAAGTGTGTGTCCTGAGGTTGTCATGCAAAGCTGGGGAAAGCGAAGTACAGCTGAGCTCGCAGGGCTGCACCTTCTAAAATCAGGTCTCAGCTATGCCTCTGCCCGGAAATAAAGCCACATTTCATTGATTCTAAGATAGGGTCTCCACACTGGTACAGGTCTGAGGTTGGGATGCAGCTTACGAGTGCTGCCAGCCAGATGGCGGAAGTGTCATGGCCACATCTGGCTGCCTCTGTGTGTGCTCAGATGTAGCTGTTCACGTGATGTGCACTGCTGCTTCTACAGGAGTTAAGTTTAATTGCAATTTAAATTGTCTTCAGGTTACAATATGATTTGGCGTTAAAAAGTGCACAGATACCGGTGTGGAACAGTGTGTGCAACACCCACATCATCGTCTCTGTGTCAGAAGTGGTTCAAAACCGTTGGACACACTTCTGCTGTCTCCTTCAGCTGTGCTTTCCTTCATACACTGCATAAAGATGGGTAACGATATGTTGTGTCGAAATAACTCAGTATCACTTTTAACAAGCACGGGGGCTCTAAATGATAAAGAATTTTGTACATAAAATAATATGTCTTACAATTTCTACCTTTTTCGAGTAAACAAAATACAGTCACAATGGTGGTAACAACATCTGAGCACGCACTGTGTCAGGCACTGTGTAAAGCCCCTTTCACGGGTGACCTCCACCACCAGCATTCCACAGCTGGCAACGCGGTTGCAAAGGGCCCAGCAGCCTGCTGGGGACATGGGCTGGGAAGCGGGCCAGCCCCATCTGAACACAGGCTGTCTAGAGCTAGGACCTGGACCCTTCCCCACGCCGCATCCTGTCAGGGGAGAATAAGGCATTTCTGCCAAACTCTGCCCAGTCCTCCTCCCCTCCTTCCCGAACCTGTTGTTGTTGTAATATTCCAGGTAGAATCTTCTGGGCCGAGACAGTTCCTCCACTCGGCGGGACACTGCTACGCAAAACGGGAAACGAGTTGGTGAACCCCGGCGTAAACACCCTACAGTTCCCAGGGGCTTCTGCATGCGGAATTCAGCTTTTCATGAGCTTGGGCAGGAGGCCGAATTGGAAAAACTATGGGCAGAGACAGCTGGGGACCAGACACCCTGCAGAGAGAAGACTTGCTGTCCCTGATTTAGGGACAATGGGCTCAGAGGCCTGAAGGTCCTTGCTCGGACACGGGATGGGAGTGGCAGGGCTGGAATGGCAGCTCAGCCCCGTGGCTCCTCAATGGGGCTCAGTACAGATCTGGGAAAATGGGTTTTGTTTTGAAGTTAGTATGAGCCTGGGGTTTCCAGGGGCCTAGTGATGACTGTGGGTCTAAAGTCAGGAACAGTGCAGGAGAGAACTGGACTGTTATTCTCTTCTATGGGGAACTCTCGAAGTGTCTCATTTGAAGGTATCTATGATACCTTAATACCAAATTCCTCTCAAGAAAAGCATGGAAATCATTGTGGAAGGGAAAGCAGGGGGTCTTCTTGTAAATTCTTGCCCCGATTTGGCCCTGTCCTGGAGCGTGTTCCCCACAACCCTCACCCCCAGGACCAGTCTCAGCTCAGGCTCCTCAGGGGACAGACTCCAGTGGAGAGGACAGAGGCTCCCAGGATATGAGGCAAGGGAGTATCTGGATGGGGTGGGGCAGGTTCCCTGGAGGCCAGCAGCTGGAGGCAGGGGTCTCAGCAGGCACGGGCTCCACCTACCGGGCACTGTGATGGTGAGGGTGGTGTCCTCAAGGAACCGCTCGGTCCAGTACACAGAGGGCCTGGAATAAGTGAGCAGCTCAGGGCAAGGGAGGCAGAGAGCCCTGGCCCTGCCCGGAAACAAGCCAGGGTCTCTGCCGGGAGGGTGGCCAAGGGGGGGTGTGGAGTTGCTGGAAGAGGGGGTAGGCCAGAGAAGGACAGGGAGGGGGCCACCGGGACGTGTGGATTGTTGTGAGCAAGGCTGATGTCCAGAGAGGGAGGTAGCTGGGGGAAAAGCATGGCTAAGAAGAGGGCCCAGGGCCATCTCCTGGGAGCAGACCCAGGTCACAGCCGATTGCCTGAGTCCAAAGCACAAGGGTAGAGAGCCCCACATCTGAGGAGCCCTCCCCATCCTCCTCCCTAGAGAGAAGAGGGTGGCTCGAGTGGAGGGGCTCCCCGGAACCTGACACGTGTCCCCCGGCATAGGCAGATGGAGGAGACAGCCCTGGACTTACCAGTAGAGACAGAACCGTAAGCTCATCTTGCATGGGAAAATCCAAGCATACCCCTTACCACAGCATCCCTTCCTGCGAGGAGACAGGGTCCGAGCCCCCACTGCCTTTTGCCCTGGGTCTCCCGTTTGCTCCCAAACTCCTCTCTCTCCTTTGGCCACCGCCCAGAGGGCCACCGAGGGCCGCAGTTCCCTAGCCAGGCCCGGCGTCTGGCCACCTCCTTAACTGGCCAACCCCATCTACCCTAAGTTTGCTGGATGTGGTGGCGGTTGTGGGAGGGGAGCCGAGCAGTGGGGACAGGAGGAGCCCGGGAAGGGTGCAGAGGAAGCCCCAGCCCCCACGAGGCCATGGTTGGTCTGGCCTGTCCTCACCTGTCTTTCAGGACTTGCCAGTTTATCTTGGGCTCTGCCAGCTCCATGAGCCTCCGCCGCCTTGTCTTCCTCCTTGCTTTGGCCATGACGGTGCTGGGGAGCTTCTGGCTGATGGACAGCCGGCTTTGGGAGAATTCCATGTTGAAGTTGGAGCTGCTTTCTCGCCCCGACGCGTTTGGGGGCCCAGAGAAGCGTGGGTCTTGCTCGAGCGCCCTGCCCACCCGCCTCTCCTTTCCCGAGAAGGGTCTCTGGGGGAGGACTTTGGCACCACGAAGGCCTGGACCAAACCGCAGCTCCACTGCTGGCTGGAATGGAAGACCCTGGCCAGGTCACCCGGCTTCCCAGGCCCTCAGCCGCCTCCTCTGTGAATTGGAGATGAGACCAGCTCCCACCCGGTGGGGCTGTTTCAGTGAGTTCTAAGGTAATGTTTGCGCATCTCACAAACATTTATCAAGTACCTACTGTATGCCAGGCCCCAGAGGGGCCACCAGCCTCTAAAGAGAGCAGCGCCTGCCTCCCAGAAAGCTCACAGATTGCGGGAGGGACACAGGCAGCAGGCGAAGATGCCAAATGTCAGGACGTCTGCCCTGTCACAGCTCTTGGCTCCCGTGTCCTCCCCGAGAGCCCCTCACACTCCTGCCGTTTCCCCTGCAGGCTAGCACGGCCCGGTGAGGACAGGGCTGCTGCTTTGTTCTTGGGCGGCACAAGTCCCTAGGCAGGACGGAGACCACGGTGAGAAGGACGCAGGCTGGGCGTGGGCGTGGGCCGGGACCACACTCTGCAGGGAGGGCGGGAGCCAAGTTCCAGAGGTATGTAGAGTGCGCGCCTTGCCGGGGACACTCGGGCAACTTGCCCAGAATCACTGCCCCCAGTGCCGATTCGCTGAAGCGTTCGTTCGCCCAGAACGTGTTCCTCCCGACCATTTAAAACGTTTTAGCCACGTGTGGTGCTTAGAATTGTTTCAGCTTTTGAGTTAGGAGGCTTTTTTTTTCCCCATTTCTTTTTCTCGCTGTCTGACTTGAAGTCATCACTTGTTAAACTGAACTCTGGACACCTGAACTCAGTCTGCCTGACTCCAAACTCAGCGCTGTTTACTCCACCTCCTGCCACTGGCTAGGGGAGCGTGTGCTGGGGTTTGCCTCAGGGCCCAGTGAGGGGTGCTGGCCACCAGCTGACCAGGCCCACACCTAGGCTGACTCGGCAGCCTGGGCCCCTCGGCGAGCCAGGCCAGTGGCCGGGAACAACCCTTTCGCACGCCCAGGGGCCTGCACCCAGGGGGCTGCTGCCCTCCCCCAGCTGCCAGAGGCTGAGCCCTACCCCACCGCGCCCGGGCAGGGCCGCTCCGCGGTGCCCACCTGATTTCAGGAATGTCCTCCTCTAAATCCTTGTCCAGAACTCTCTCCAACTCAGAGAGTGCCTCTTTGGGATCCAGGGTCTCCAATAACTCCTCCCCGGCCACCTCCTCGGGGGGAAGCTCCTCTTCCGGGTCCTCTGGTCCCAGCTCCGCATTGTCCGGGTCCTGGTGTTCGGGGTCTGTGACCCGCCGGCTCTCGTACACAGAGCTCTGGAGGCCACGGGGGTCACCACTGAGCTCCCTTTCTGACCTGCCTTCAGCCTCAGAGCTGGGCTGGTTCCCGAGTGACCTTTGCCTGCTCTCCCCCATGTACAGGTCCCTTCCCAGCCCCCGCGGCCTCACTCCCTCAGCACCCAAATGTGTCTGTGGTGGCCACGGCAACAGGAGAGTGTCCCCTACATTCCCCACTGTCCACATTCTAACCCCTGCGCTGTCTACAATGCCGGTCACCTGGGCTTGTGCTGGCACCAGGACTCAGTCCTGGCAGTCATGGCTCACAGGGACCTCCCAGGATTGGTTTAGGAAGGAGGCCTGAGGGGAACCTGCAGGGGTTATCTAGATATGGCTTCCCTCTCTTAAAAGGAGACACAAGCCAGGCGCGGTGGCTCAAGCCTGTAATCCCAGCACTTTGGGAGGCCAAGACGGGCGGATCACGAGGTCAGGAGATCGAGACCATCCTGGCTAACACGGTGAAACCCCGTCTCTACTAAAAATAGAAAAAAAAAACTAGCCGGGCGAGGTGGTGGGCGCCTGTGGTCCCAGCTACTCGGGAGGCTGAGGCAGGAGAATGGCCTGAACCCGGGAGGCGGAGCTTGCAGTGAGCTGAGATCCGGCCACCGCACTCCAGCCTGGGAGACAGAGCGAGACTCCGTCTCAAAAAAAAAAAAAAAAAAAAAGGAAACACAAGGAAGAGACCGCGTCTCCCATTCCTGTCACTGCTGGGCCCGTCTGTAATGTCCAGAGCCCAGGCAGCCTCCTTGTGACCATGAGGCCTGCCAGCCTGAGGGCAGATGGACTGAAAAGTGGGTCTTTGATGCCCTTGTCGAGCCTCTGAACTTAGCAACCCTGGAATCCACCCTGTGTCCAGGCTTCTCGTTACTTGAAACAATCAGTGTCCTCAGTACTAAGTGGTTTTGGCGAAGTTTCCAATCCGCAGCAGCTAGAACTGCACCCTCAGGGATACAGACCCTTCCAGCTCCAACCTCTCCTAAGAAATAACTTCAAACTAGGCTGTTCCGATTCTCACGACAAAATCATGGTTATAACTGGAGTGTTCCCCAGGCTGCAGCCTTCGGGACCTCCTTGCAGCTCGTCAAAGGAGCTGAATTTCCCGCCTCTGCCACACCGTGCCCCACACAGCCTTTCCCCCTCCGTACCCCTCTAGCCTTTTCCCCTCTGTGCTGTGCCCCACCCAGCCTTTCCCTCTCCGTGCCCCCCTACCCTTTCCCTCTGTGTGCCCCACCCAGCCTTTCCCCCTCTGTCATGCCCCCAGCACTCCCCTCCACGTGCCATGCTTTCCCCCTCCATTACCCCCCCAGCCTTTCCCCCTCTGGCACTGTGCCCCAGCCCTTTCCCCCTGTGCTGTACCACTGGCCTTTCCCCTGTGCCTCTGCCCAGCTTCCCCCTTCTGTGATTCTACTCTGTGTGTGCAAGAGACTCAAACTGCCGGTCCCCACATGCAGGGGAGAGTCCCACATCCCCTCCCCTTCTCAGGCTGCCCGGAGCTGGGCCCCACCCACTCCACCAGTGCTGAGCCCACCCACACCAGGTCACTAACAGCAGCCCTCACCCCCTGCCACCAGTGTAGGCCAGCCCCATCCCGGGCACATAGTGACCACTTAGCTTTAAGGGCCCAGTTCACTTGCTGAACACACTTAAAAAGCCCTCTCAGCTCTCTATGTCCATGCCCAGCTCTCCTCCCGCTCCCGTCCATCACAAAGCCCTCTCCAGCTCCCCGTCCCATGCTGAAGCCCTCTCCAGCTCCGCGTCCCATTTGCAAGCCTCTCAGCTCCTCTGTCCATTGCCAGGCCTACTCTCAGCTTCCTAGCCATCTCCCACCCAGCCTTTCCCCCTCTGTGCTGTGCCCCACCCAGCCTTTCCCCCTCTGTGCTGTGCCCCACCCAGCCTTTCCCCTGTGCCTCTGCCCAGCACTTCCCCCTTCTGTACTTGGTGATTTTCTACTCATCATTGAAGACTCAAGCCTGTCGGTCCCCCATGCAGGGAGAGTCCCTGACCATCCCTCCCCTTTCTGGGCTGCCAGGCCTAAGACCCCCACTCCCACCCAGTGCTAGCCCACCCCAGAGTCCTGCTGTGTCCCTCACCCCTGCCACCAGTGTGGGGCCAGCCGTCCGGGCATGGTGACCACTTGGCACACAAGAGACCCAGTTCATGAACACACGCAAAGCCCTCTCCAGCTCTCTATCACATCGCAAAGCTCTCTCCAGCTCCCCGTCCCATCACAAAGCCCTCTCCAGCTCCCCGTCCCATCGCAAAGCCCTCTCCAGCTCCCCGTCCCATTGCAAAGCCCTCTCCAGCTCTCTATCCCATTCGCAAAGCCCTCTCCAGCTTCCTGTCCCATCTCCCGGATGCTCTGCTCCCAGACGCAGCCGCGCCATCACCTCTGTTGGGAAAGGGGTCTCTCGGAGGACTCCAGGCAGAAAGGCCCCTGGGAGGGTCTGGTCCCATCCAGGAGGCCGTGGGAAAACCCCTTTCTTGGCCTGAAGTTTCCTAAACCCTCACCTTGCACTCAGTGACTTATTTTTCTCTCTTAAGTTAAACCTGACCAAGATCTGTGGGTGCCTTTCACAAAGAGATGAGTTCGGCATTGTTGCCGCTGGAGGGCCTGTGGCCACTGCGGTTTCCAGGAGTCCTCGTTCAGAGCGCCGCACCCAAGGCTGCTCCCTAAACCTGCGCCAGTGACACATGGTTAAGGATCTGGCAACCTCCAGCTCACAGCACACCCCGAGCACACAGGCTGCAGCGCGTTTGGCCCTCACGGCAGCCCGTGGTGGAGAGGAGACGCAGATGAGCGCTCCAGGGTCATGGGAAACTCCCAGGGCCACACGGCTGGAGGAGCTGCACCCGGCACCTTCTCGGTGGAGTCAGGGCTGATGTCTCTACAGCAGGAGCCAGAGGAGCCCAGGAGTGGATGGGGACATCGGAACTCCACCCGCCCTCAGGGGAGAGTTGGAGGGTCCCTGTCTGCTCCCACGTCCTGTGGAAAAGCAAGATGTTCACAGCCACAGTGCTTGATTTCTGGATGTCCTGTGATGCTGCTTTGAGCAGAAAATAGAGGGGGACGGGGACCAGGCTGTGGGGAGTGTGGGGTTCTGACTGCCCGGACCTGGGGCGTCCGTCTGGCAGAAAATAAACCAGGTCCCTACTGTGTTCCTCTCTGCTGCGGCCGCCTTAACACATACCACAAGCAGAGACTCCAGCAACACTGAGCGATCACCTGGCCGTCGTGGGCTCAGCAGCCCAACAGGGATCTCACTGGACTCAAGCCACGGTGTGGGCAGGGCTGGCTCCTGGAGCCTCCGGGGGGGGCTCGTCTCCTGCTCATTTGGTGGCTACAGAAGTCAGTGCCTTGTGGTCGTAGGACTGAGATCTGTGTTCTTGCCGTGTGTGTGAGCTGGGGGCCTTTCCCAGCACCCAGAGACCGCTGCTCTTCTCAGTCCTGGCCCCTCGCTCCATTTTCAAAGCCAGCAATGGCCAGTCAAACCCCTCACGGCCGGGCGCGGTGGCTCAAGCTTGTAATCCCAGCACTTTGGGAGGCCGAGACGGGCGGATCACGAGGTCAGGAGATCAAGACCATCCTGGCTAACACGGTGAACCCCCGTCTCTACTAAAAAATACAAAAAACTAGCCGGGCGAGGTGGCGGCGCCTGTAGTCCCAGCTACTCGGGAGGCTGAGGCAGGAGAATGGCGTGAACCGAAGAGGCGGAGCTTGCAGTGAGCTGAGATCCGGCCACTGCACTCCAGCCTGGGCAAGAGAGCGAGACTCTGTCTCAAAAAAAAAAAAGAAAACAAAACAAAACAAAAAAAAACCCTCACACGTGGATGCTCCACTGGCACTCATCTCTGAGCAGGGCTGGGAAACCCGCTTGGTTATTACGGAAACAGGTGATTGAAGGAGGTCTGCCTGGATAAGCCAGGTGCTCTGACCCTCCAAGTCTGACCAGGTCTGGAACCCCAGTCCCACCAGCAAAGTCCGTTTTGCCACATGAAATACTGTGACACTCCCAGTGTCAAAGTCAAGCAGATAGAGACGCATTTTTACGTAAAACGTTTTGTTTGGGAAAATACACAAAAACAACTGCAATTTGGGGCATGCACACAGGACGGGCGGTCTTTGGTAGATCTGCAGCGCAAACAGGAGGGGCTTTTACTAGAAGGAGCAATGTTGTGTATCATTTCAAAAGAAAGCTCGCTGGAACTGGTGAAGTTTTGGGAGCTGGTGAGCCCTGACTGAGAGGGAGGTGGGGGCAGAAGGCATCTTCATGTCATTGAGGTCACTTCAGCAGCTCCCAGGTCAAACTGGCTTTCAGGTCACAGCAGGCCATTTTGGGCGCTGGCCTATGATGCAATCCTGGGCAGGCGCGTGCGTCCGAGTGCTTTTTCCCTGGTCTCCCGACTGTCGTCGTGTTGGGTAACTCCCATCCATATCATCACTTTCACACCAGGTCTCAGGGACAAGGATGTGGACACCGTTGGGGGTCACTATTCCTTCTGTCACACCTACCTCATACCACACACAAAATCAGTCCTTAGTGGATATGGGATGTGAGTGCGGAAACAAAACTTTAAAATTTACGGAAAAAAGTGAATGTGACCATGCTTTTGCCCTCCAGGTAGGGAAGGATTTTTTTAACAAGACATGTAGACTGCTAATCATCCATGACCAATAAGTCAGCCATGTAAAACTGAAGCCTGATGTTCAGGACTCCTCAAAAACATGGAAACAGAAGCCACAAATGGGAGGGCGGCGTTTGTCATGTCTATAACTGATTAGTATCCGGCATAAATAAATAGCTCTTAGAAATCAATAATAGATGGGTGCTGGGCGCGGTGGCTCAGGCCTGTAATCCCAGCACTTTGGGAGGCCAAGGCGGGCGGATCACAAGGCCAAGAGATCGAGACCATCCTAGCCAACATGGTGAACCCCGTCTCTCCTAAAACTACAAAAAGTTAGCTGGGTGTGGTGGTGCGCACCTGTAATCTCAGCTACTTAGGAGGCTGAGGTAGGAGAATCGCTTGAACCCAGGAGGCGGAGTTTGCAGTGAGCCGAGATCACACTACTGTACTCTAGCCTGGGTGACAGAGTGAGACTCCTCTCCAAAAAAAAAAAAAAAAAAGGAAAGAGCAGAACCGCAGTGATAAGCAGATGTAGGAGGTGGAGCAGAACCGCGGTGATGAGCAGATGTAGGAGGTGGAGCAGAACCACGGTGATGTAGGAGGTGAAGCAGAACCATGGTGATGAGCTGATTTAGGAGGTGGAGGAGAACCGTTGTGATGAGCAGATGTAGGAGGTGGAGCAGAACCGCGGTAATGAACAGATGTAGGAGGTGGAGGAGAACCGCGGTGATGAGCAGATGTAGGAGGTGGAGCAGAACCGCAGTGATGAGCAGATGTAGGAGGTGGAGGAGAACCGCGGTGACGACCAGA